GGGCCGGGGCTGGATTCAAACCTGCCACCTTAGGTATATCTGGCTGGCGCCTTAGCCGCTTGAGGCACAGGCGCCAAGCCAGAGTGCATAGAATTTATCAGTAACATGAAATCGAAAGTAAATAATTCTATTATGTACTTTTAAAACATAGGAATACCGTTTCTGACATCTATACAATACTCCAGTATAGTTAATATTTATAAAAGAAAACTAAGGATGAGCACGGTTGCTCATGCCTGTTATCCTAGCAATTTGGTAGGCCAAGGTAGGAGGATCACTTGAGGCTAGGAGTTGGAGACTAGCCTGGGCAATACAGGCAGACCCCATCTCTACCAGCAGTAAATAAAGTCAAATCAAATTAATCAATCAGTAATTTAAAAATGGCAGTGCATGTGTGCAGTCCCAGCTACTTGAGCCTAGGTGACAGAACAAGGCTATGTCTCTTTAAAAAAAAAAAATAGAATCTAGTGCTAGATTTTTTGTTATTAAATGAATATTTTGCAATGTAACGTGAATCCTTTGTTGTATTACAGTGGGAAGTTTCACATGAAGCAAATGGATTCAGCACATGCTTTTATAAATTTTTATAAAATTTCAATCTTAAAATGTATATTTTTACCCTTTACATTTGACCATAGTTCTGTGAAATGCAAAGTTTTTCAAGAAAGCCTTGAATAGCTGTTTACATGATTACCTTTTTTTTGCAGTTTTTGTATATGGGGCCAGTGCCCTACTCCTTTGAGCCATAGGCACCACCTATTACTTTTTCTTTTTTGAGGACAGAATCTCACTGTTGCCATGGATAGAGTGCTCTGGCGTCACAGCTCACAGCAACCTCAAACTCCTGGGTGTGAGCAATCCTCTTGCTTCAGCCTACAGAGTAGCTGGGATTACAAGTGCCGCCACAATGCTCGGCTGATTTTTCTGTTTTTAGTAGAGAAGGGGGTCTCGTTCTTCAAGCTGGTCTTGAATTTCTGAGCTCAGGTGATCTACCCACCTTGGTCTCCTAGAGTACTAGGATTATAGGAGTGAGCCACCACACGTGTAGATGATAGATGATTACTTAAACTTATGACTTGTGATACTTTTTATCACTCCATAGAAAATTTTTATTTAAACTTCAACAAAATTGACTAGAAACTTAAAATATATTTGTGGATTAGTTCTTTTTTTTCCTTTTGAAACTTAGGATCCCTGAATCTTTACTTATAATTTCAAAATTTTTTTGGTTAAGCTATAGTATTTACCTTTATAAAAAACAATTTAAAACATCTTTGGTTAATCGTTTCCTTGGGTATATAAGGAAATAGGTAGCCATCTTGACACTCTATTATTTCTTGTTGGCTTGTTTGATGAACTGTTCTACTTCTAAAAATTTTAATCTTCTTTCATTTTAGGGAATAATGTTTCCATAAATATAGAGGTAGACCCCAGGCATCCTACTATGCTTCCAGAGTGTTGCTTTCTTGGAGCTGACCATGGTATGAGAACGCAGATTTAATTTAGCTTTAGCAGAATCACAATCCTTGCCTACCACTATTAAAACATTATTTGAAGATATTAATGATAATTCTTTTAAATGAAAATAACATTCTATGTACTTTGTGTTTTTAATGTATGATTAGGGTTTCTAATGAAATAACTAGGGAACAAAAGCTTATGGAGCATCAAACTTTAAGTTATTAACCTTTTTTTTTTTTTAACATCTTAAGTGATAAAACCTCTGGGAATTAAGCTGAGCAGCAACATACATTTGTGGTAGGTACCTTGGCAATATAATTGTTAGTTTTCTATGATTTAATAGCAGACTTAATAGCAGATTTTTTTATCCTTCCTTTCAGGGATCCAGAAAATAGTCTGTTACAAAATTTGAAAGATCTTTTAGAAATTGATTTTCCAGCTCGTGCTATCCTGGAAAAATCTGTAAGTTTTATCAGTGCTTTGATATTCCAAACGGCATTGCATATTTAAATTTAAATGCTTATCTCAGAGAAAAATGAGTCAGAAAAGGGAAAGAACGTAGACCTCTGAACTACAAGGAACAGGTGCACCAAAGTCCTTGTTAACCTGTGATGATTGGTTTTGAGTACAGTCATCCCTCCATGTATGCTGAAGATTGGTTCTAAGAACACCCTGGAATAACAAAATCTATACGTACTCAAGTTCCAAGAACCTCCCCTGTATGGTAGTTTCATATATGTGGGTTCCACATCCCACCAATACTGCATTTTTGATGTGTGATTGGTTGAAACAATCCATGTATAAGTGAGCCCTTGCAGTGCATCATGTTTTTCAGCAGTGACATGATTAATGACAGATATTTATTGTTAATAAGGAAAAATGGTCCAACGTAGCTAATGAGATATTTGGAATTTCTATATTATACGCTTATGGATGGATGAAATTCTGATTAGCTTGATAAAAGCATTTGCAAAGGTTAGTAGTTTTACAAAATTGGAAGAATTGATTTTTGACCAAGTTGTAGACTTTTGAATTTTACAGATAACTAGTCCCTAGTTAATGTCAATTCCTGTTTTTTACATACAACAGGGATATTAATATTGATGTGTGATATGAAAAAATTTTTAAAGCCAAACATCTTGCCAGCCAAATATAGAATGTTTTTTATTGTATTTGTGTATATTTATAGAGTGAAAAGGAAACTTATGAATAGCTTTGTTAGATGCTAAATAGTGATGTATTTCCTGTAATACACCAAAATAGTTACCTTTCTAAAAACACTGTATAAAATTTTAGTATTGTATCATTATTTATTCTTTCTAATCTCACCTTGTGTATTTTAAATATACATACTATTGCTTATTTCAAAATACCTAGAAGAAAGGAATTGTAATGTTTCCAACTATAAAGATAAATGTTTGAGTTGATGGATACCCCAATTATCTTTATTTGATCATTTATACATATATCAATAAAAATAAAGTAAAAATACACATATCTTTTTCTTTTGAAGGATTTTACTATGGATTGTGGAATTTGTTATGCCTATCAACTTGATGGTGTCATTCCTGATCAAGTGTGTGATAATCCACAGTGTGGACAACCTTTCCATCAAAGATGCTTATACGAGGTAAAAAAAAAAAAAATTACATCAGCAACACTTGTTTCAGCTAATACAATACAGGAAGTATGCACTTTCAAAATACATAGAATCTAAATCTTAGTAATGAGCCCCTTCTTTGCCATAACTCTTTTTACTAGTTTATACCAGATACTCTTGTACTTCATTTCTTCATCATAGTTACTAATGAAGTGAAGAAATGGCCAAAAGTCCCCAGGGGGCAGGGTAGATTTATCCTGAATATATTCATGGACTAGCTTGTTGACAGGAAAGTTAAATTGATGGACATTTTCCATAAATATCTCATTTTTCCATAATGCAAACTCTATAGATTCATCCATGTGGCGGTGGTGGTCGCAATGATGTGAAAGGGACTTAGCAATTATGTAGTACCTTATTACTTTTCAGGCTACATTTAAGTGCAGAATGTAATATGTATTGATATGTATTGCAAAAATGCCTTTTGTGAACTGAACATTTTATGGTATTCTCAGGCAATGCCATTTACTATATGTGAAATCTTGCTTTTCATTTCTGTTTGTAGTTATTTGCTCTCTGTAGCACTTAAACTATTAACTCTGTATTCAAAACACCTTCCAGTGTATAGTGCTGTAAGTGTCTTCTGTAGTATCCCCCTTCTTTACTTTTGCTAGTAGAGATACCAATGGAGAACTTACGGAGAGGTATCAGTTAACCTTATAAAATACCAGGTCTGATGACAGAATATTCAAGGAACGTTGAAATAGGTAGCTTCAAGAGCCTGATCTCCTTTACTGCAGTTGTTCTTAATTTGTGATTAATGGATCTAGGGATGATCTGTGAACCCCAGGAACTTGCATTATTTTTGTATATATTTGCCTTGGGGTTAGAAAAGGGGCATAACTTATCACATCCTTAAAGAGGCCCAAATTTAGTTATAAATTCCATGTTGCTTTCCCCTTACGTTCAGCATATTATTGGTGGGCTCTTAGGCCAGGCTTGGTGGCTCATGCCTGTAATCCTAGCACTGGAAGGCAGAGGCGGGTGGATTGCCTGAGGTATAACAGGTTCACGACCAGCCAGAGTGAGACCCTGTCACTAAAAATAGTTGGATGGCGTGGTGGACGTTTAAGAGAATCTCTTGAGCCTACCAAAGGTGACAAAGTGAGACTCTTGTTTTGCAAAAGCAAGGAGTGTATTTCCTGAACCAACACCAAACTAAGAAAGTAAATTTAGATACTCCAAATATCATTTCCTTTTCTTTTTACATATACTATATTCTAATTTGTAACTGTATTAACATAACACTGATCATTTTATCTTTTCAAAATCTTCAGTGGTTGAGAGGACTACTGACTAGTAGACAGAGTTTTAACATCGTGTTTGGTGAATGCCCATATTGTAGTAAGGTAAGCCAATTATTAATTACATTTCAGAACATGTGCCTTTTAGTAATATGTTTTAAAAGAGTGTACAGCTTATTTAAAACTTGTTATGTGTTTAAAATAAATTGTTTTCTAGATTGTCTAAACTTCAGAAAAAGCGTACATTTCTAGTATGGATAAAAAAGGAAATATATCTTAATAAATTTTATTTTTTTAGCCAATTACCTTGAAAATGTCTGGGAGGAAACCCTAAAATAATGAAGAACTGGAAACTTTAAAAAAAACACAAGGATTCTATTTGTATCTTCAGAGAAAATACAAAGCAAGACATATTAACACCAAAAGGACAAGTATGATGAAGACATAATAATATAGTCCTGAAGATCTGTCTAAGTCTGTGACTCCTATACTAATTGGGGAAGTGTATTTATACCCAGACGGAGATCTTGACTTGTTAAATGTATCTAGACTGATAAAATCCTCATGAGATTTATAAAACGAATTTGGGAATTGTATATAGCTGAATTTTTGTGGGAAAGGCTTTACTACATTCAGAAGTTCTTGAGCATCTTGGTATTTTTGTCTTCTCCTTATGCTTTCCTAGGGAAAAAAATACATACATCTTTATTATTCAGGTATTTATTTTGTGGACTCTGTAAGAATACTAAATATAATTTGTACATAACACAAATTTTGTGTATTTTTCCTGAGAAAATCTTGCATTTTAAGTTTATAAATTACTTACTGGCATCCAATAACCAAATCTGGTTCAGTGGAGTGGTTCCTTTAAATATATTCTAGAATGACTATCTTACTCCCAAAAAATTAAGCCCAGTTTTTCATCTTACCAAGAAAATTTACTGTTCATAATTAGAAAACGTCTAAGTGAGTAAAGGACAAGGCTATACACAGCCAAATAAAACTGCCTCACGGGCAATACCGTGTCCTTCATGTGTGTTGGAAATTCACAGGTACAACTCAACTAGGATAGACTGAACAGATATTAATATGAAACAAATTAACTGGTTACTTATATGCAGGTTTCAAAAGCTGCTTCAATGTTTTCACCATCATTCTGTTAGCCAAAGTCCTAAGAATCCATTTCCTGCTCACCCCTTTAACCAGCTGCAAGTCAAGAGTAGTTCTGTTTCACTTTGGTGGCCTCTAGCATAAACGGTACTGTCATTGTACATTTATCAGGTAACTTAGATGAAGGAAAATTTACATTAGTATTTTAGCTTACCTCACTGTTCGTTTTATCCAGAAACATGATGCTGCAATAACCACTACTGTTCCAAATAGCTATTGACCCTCAGCTTCTAGGCCAGTGGTTCTCAACCTTCTTAATGCGGAGACCCTTTAATACAGTTCCTCATGTTATGGTGACCCCCAACCATAACATTATTTTCATTGCTACTTCATAACTATAATTTTGCTACTGTTAAGAATTGTAATGTAAATATCTGATATGCAGGATGTATTTAGGTGACCCCTGTGACAGGGTTGTTGGACCCCCCCCCCCAAAGGGGTCACGACCCATAGGTTGAGAACCACTGCTCTAGGCTGCCACCTGTCAAACAGCCTTCCTCCACACGAAAACTCACTTTCTGGATGCAGCTTTAGAAGGGTCAAAAAGGATTCCTACATATGATACATAAAAGATATTTTGAAGACAACTTTACTGTCTGAGCTAACAAAGTCACATTAATGCAGTTTTCCTAAAGGTTGTCAGCTTTATTTACTAAAGGCAAAATAAGTAAATGATTATTCTAGTGGGCCCCTATAACATTTTCCCTCAAAGATTTATGCTATCAAATCATATTTCTAAAGGATAAGCTAACTTAAACAGTATTTACATATAACTTACATGTGGAAGGCTGGGAAATATCCTATTTAGGTAAGAATAGAAGTCAAGCTACTACAATTTCCAGAATCATCTACTTGGTGACTTATACACCTGTCTCTCTTTAAGCCACATCAAATGGGAAGTCATTCATCAAAGAACCACTAGCTGTCTTCAGCATACTGAGAGGTATGACTGGGAAAGAGTCTATGAAAAGGTTGGCTCATTGGTCAACTGCCTGTTTTGTGAATAAAGTTTTACTGTCTGTGGCTACTTCTGCACTTCAATAGCAGAGTTAAATATTTTCTGTCACACTTCAAGAAAAATTTAACTGACCTCTGGCCTAGGGCATTGTTTTATGAACATTAGAAAATGTTACAGATCATCTTATCTTCTTAAAAATGTAGATCTCCCTCAAAATCTGGGCTTAAGACCTGAGATTCTAAGAAGATCCAGATGATGCCAGTACAGCTGGTTTGAGTGGCAAGGGCTTAGGGCAGTGTGATAATTAGCTCTACTCGAACACTGGTTCTTGGTCTGGAATGATTTTGCCTCATAGGGACATTTAGCAATTTTTGGAGACTTGGGTTAGCACATTGAGAAGAAGTACTGTTGGCATATAGTGGATGAGTATCAGGAATGCTGCCAAAAATCCTACAATACACAGTGAGGTTCCCCCACAACAAATAATAACCTAGCTAGCCAGCCCAAGGTGCCAATAGTGCTGCTGTCAAGAAACCCTGCTTTCGGACAGTTAGTTACTAATTGTGAATGCACATTAGAATCAACTGGGAAGTTGTGAAAAATATCAATACCCCTCTTCTGGCTTGAGTAAGGAGTATCCGATTTCCCCTTCCTGCTGGAAAAGCCCAGAGAATAAATACAAAACAATAAAATTAGAATATATGGAATGACTCACAATTCTGTCTGAAGTCTGGGTTATTTTAGCTATTATACTTAAAAATAACCCAGACTTCAAAAAGTCCACATGTAAGCTTATACCCTACTATGCATGAGACACAGGAAATATGACCTATTACTAGGAAAAACGAATAACAGAAACAGTCTCAAAGACCCAGATGGTAGAATTATCAAACAAGGACTATAAAACATCTACATTATGTGTTCAAGGAGTTAAAGGAAAAGTTGAATATAATTAGTGAAAAGATGGAAAGTCTGAGCAGAGAAATATAATGCACTTATGTAACTGAAAAATATAGCATATAAAATGAAAAATTCACTGGCTAGGTTTTAATTAACATCTGCTGTGACAGTGAACAAGAGGTCAGGCAAAAGAAAATACCCAAACTGAAGTGGACAGCAAGATAAAAGACTGATGTTAAATATAAACAGTGCCTCAGTAGTCTGTGGAAAAGGTAAAACATTCTAACATACATGTGTATGAATCTCAGAAGAAGAGGAATTAAGGCATGAAACAAATTCATGAAATTCATGAATTTCATGATTCATACATGAAATCATAGCTGAAAACTTCTAATTTGATGACAAATATTAATTATAGATAAAAGAAGCTCAATGAACCCAAAACACAGTAAACAAAGGCAACTATCCTTAGAAAACCAAAATTAAAAAGCAAAAACAGCCAGAAAGAGATACTTTATATATAGAGTTCACGATAAGAATAAGTACAAACAACTTCTCAGAAAAAAAAAAAACAAAAAAACCCAAGAACACTGGAAAACATTTTTAAAGTTCTAAAAGAAAAATTTCATACTCAATGCAACCTACAAAAAGGAAAGTGAAACATGTAGTTCCAGACCAAAAAAAAAAAAAAAGAGATTCCTCTTACTAATTACAACTACAGGCTCTGAACCAAAAGAAACTGTCAGAGAACTCTGAAAGCTGTAGGAAAGGAGGCAGACTGTCCAGGGGACCTCAGCACACAAGGAATTACCTACCCAAGAATCCTCACCCTCCTTTCATTTTCCTGCCTCCTACGTATCCCAGCCTGGGTCAGAAGGCAGCCTGGAAACAGCAATATGCACAGATGGGGAAAAAACGCCCAAGAAAAGTTTGCTCTGTCTAACCAATGTTCCTGGGGGAAGGCAGGCCTATAGGACTGAATCCTTGTGACCACACCTGCTGTACTCTAGGTTAACACCATGAGAGAAACTGCTCCTTTCCCCCTTCTCTCCAGGTGCTATGGAATTGAACTGTGGAGTGGAATCCTGTTCACTGTAACCACCCTGCACTAACCAGGGAGTGAGTACACCTGCCCTTCCTCATCAAGCACTATGGAGGCTGGAGCCCTGCTGACCCATGCTTATGCTAAAAAGGTGACACCTTATCCTACCAGTGATAGGGAGATTGTGAGACAGCCCTGTAACCATTTCCAGCCTACACCACTGAGGTAGCCTCCCTCTCTTCTCAACAGGCACTACAGAGACTGTAGGACAGAGCCTTATAGACTCTCCCTCCCTGCACTAACATAAGCAGCGCGGGTTCCTCTTCCTCCCCAAAAGACACTGTAGACACTCAAGTAGAGTCCTCCAACCACCCTCACCTTGCATTAAGTAAACATCAGCAGAAAGACAGCAATCCTCTACTTCTCACTGCCTCAAAGACTGAAAAAGAGCTTGCCCTTTTGATTATCTCTGTTATGTATTAAACAGCAGCAGAGGCAGCACCTCCTACCTTCCTAACTCTGTTCTCCATCATTAATAGAACTACCTGATAGAAAATCAGCAAGGTACTACAAAGCCATAGTGGTCAAGACGTCATGGTACTGGCACAAAAATAGATACAGACATTTGGAATCGAATAGAAAACCAGGAAATGAAACTAACATCTTACAACCACCTAATTTTTGATAAACCAAACAAGAACATCCCTTGGGGGAAAGACTCCCTATTCAATAAATGGTGCTGGGAGAACTGGATATCCACATATAAAAGACTGAAACTGGACCCACACCTTTCTCCACTCACAAAAATTGATTCAAGATGGATAAAGGACTAAAATTTAAGGCATGAAACAATAAAAATTCTCAAAGAAAGCATAGGATAAACACTGGAAGATATTGGCCTGGGGAAAGACTTCATGAAGACTGCCATGGCAATTGCAACAACAACAAAAATAAACAAATGGGACTTAATGAAACTGAAAAGTTTCTGTGCAGCTAAGGAGACAACAACCAAAGCAAATAGACGACCTACACAATGGGAAAGGATATTTGAATATTTTGAATCAGACAACAGCTTGATAACTAGGATCTATAGAGAACTCAAATTAATTTACATGGAAAAAGCCAACAATCCCATATATCAATGGGCAAGAGACATGAATAGTACCTTCTCTAAAGAAGACAGACGAATGGGGAACAAACATGAAGAAATGCTCATCATCCCTCATTATTAGAGAAATGCAAATCAAAACCACCCTGAGATACCATCTAACCCCAGCAAGAATGGCTCACATCACAAAATCTCAAAACTACAGATGCTGGCGTGGATGTGGAGAGAAGGGAACACTTTTACACTGCTAGTGGGACTGCAAACTAATACAACCCTTTTGGAAGGAAGTATGGAGAACCCTCAAAGAACTCAAGCTAGACCTCCCATTTGATCCTGCAATCCCATTACTGAGTATCTACCCAGAAGGGGGGGGGAAAATCCTTTTTTCATAAGGACACTTGCACTAGCCTGTTTACTGCAGCTCAATTTACAATCACCCAAATGTGGAAACAGCCTAAATGCCCACCAATCCAGGAATGGATTCACAAACTGTGGTATATGTA